CTGTCCAAGTGAAGCTCCTTTTGGTCAAGGATGAACTCTACTTAAATGCTTGATGTGGCCATCTATGGTTCTCCACAAACTCCTCACAAGTGTTTCTATATCTCTAGTATGCACCTTCGGCACGAGCATGACCCATTTCATCCTTGAGTGTATGAAACTAATGCTTTGGCAATCGATGCACTCGCTTGGATGATGAAGTTTGCGAGTTGGCTATTCGTCTAGGTTTTTATTGATTAACTTGTCTTTATTGTCCCAATTTTGCTAACATTCATTCAACATGGACTACATTGATAATAGCATTACATATCGATACAAGATCAAGGGTAAGGGTTTTGCTAGGATTTTGCTCATCATGGCGGTTCCCCCTTGGCCGTCGGATTATACTTCTGGTGGTAGTCCGTCAAAATCTAAATCATTTGCAGAGGTATTGGCTAGGTCTAGTCAGGTGGAGGATTCGAATATACCTGACCTGGGAGTGCTGTCAAAGCATAAGGGTGAACCAACGCTTAGGCTTTCCAAGAAAAAAATGTTAGTGTTGGCTGAGCCATACCATAATGCCTTGATTGGAAGGTTTACATATAGCAGACTGTCATGAAGTCAGAAGTAAGAAGGAAGAAGGCGTGGACAGCAAAGAAGGGAAGGCGTGAGTCTGGAAGGAAGTCAACTGGAGACAGGCACAAGGAGGGTGAAGGCGCGAAGAAAACGTGATAAGGGCAGCTTTGGCAGAGGAAGGCGCGGTTATGAAACCACACCTTTTCTGGGTTCATGTGTTTCTACTGAAGCTGGGAACCAGGCCAACTGAAAAGATTCTCTAGGACACATGTCACTCGCCCATTAGCTATTGAATTAGTTAGTTAGATTGATAGCTCTATAAAAGAATTAGATCATGTAATATTCATTCAACCTTTTAGCTGAAATCTTGCTACTATAATCAAAGAGAATATCCTCTTTGTACTTTTTCTTCCCCTTCAAGTTTCCTGCATTCTGTTTCCCCTTTCTGTATCTTTCCCGCCAATTCTATTTCTGTGTTTTTGAATTAAGAAGTTGATTAATGCAAAGAAGGTGTTTGCTTGCAATTCCTTGATTCTGCAAATTTCACTGAATTCATTCCCAAAGCTCAATTATTCCATTTCCTATAATAATTTCGATTCTGTACCACAACAGTGGTATCAGAGCTCAGATACAAACCATAGGGATGACGAAGAATCAGGATGAAACACTGAGAAGAGATGTGGTAGAATTAGGGAGTGTGGTCAGGACCTTTACCAACAAGAATGAGGGAATGGAACAGGTTATCAGGACAATGGAGTTTAGACAGGATACTACTAAAAAGCTGCTGAAAGGACTGGATCAGAAGTATGAGGGAATGATGAACATGATGGCGCAGTTAATGGCTAAAGTCAGTGACCGCGGGAAGGAGATGGAAGGAAGCAGCAGCTCAAGAGAGGGAGCTCGACCTGATGGATCTAGGCTGGAGACTCAGAAGGAGGTAGTTGGCAGAAGAGAGACTAGATTCACTAATAAGCTACCTAAAATGGATCTACCAACCTTTGATGGTGATAATCCAAGGGAGTGGATCAGGAAGGCTAACAAATACTTTAAAATCCACGGAATAGAGGATGATCTGAAGGCTGAGGTTGCTAAACTTTACTTTAGAGACAGAGCAAACATCTGGTTCCATGGAGTTTTCCATGGAAGAGAGGTAATTCCATGGTCAGAACTATCCACTGCTGTGTACCAGATTTGGTGAGGGGAATCCTGAGGAAGCTATCGAAAAATTCAACAAGTTGGTGTAGTCTGGATCAATGTCTGACTACCTGGAAAGATTTGAGATGCTCAAAGCTCTGGTAATGCCATCCTTGCCTCACTTATCTGATTCTTATTACAAAGCATTTTTATGAGTGGATTGAAAGAAGAGATAGTGAATATGGTGAAAATGTCTAAACCAGAAAAGTTGGCTGATGCCATAGAGATGGCCAAACTCCAAGAAAAGAACCTCAAAGCTATCCAGAAGATACAAAAGTCTGCCCCTACTAATTTTAGTAACCAGAAGAACTGCCTTAAAACTCCACTCCTCCACAAATGAAACCAAGACAACTCCAAACACACTAACAGATTCCCTATCCAGAATACAACCAACCAGAACCAATTTAAGAAAATCACCCCCACAGAATTCAACCTGAGGAGAGAAAAAGGGCTATGCTATAGATGTGCTGAACCTTACACCCTGGGGCATGTCTGCAAACAGTCTTACGTACATTACCTATTGGCTAAGGAAACTGAGTCCTCAAGGGGGAACAAGGAACAGGAAGAGGAGGTTTACTGTGACTGTATTAATGGGGAACTGACTAATGAACATATAGAGGTGTCTGTCCATGCCTTGGCTGGGGGAAAAAGGCACTAAACCATTAAACTAGGGGGATTGGTGAGGGGTAGGCAGATTACTGCTTTGATAGACAGTGGCAGTACATACTGTTTCCAAGATGAACAACTAGCAAAGGAACTGAAGCTTGGTACACAGGGTCCCACATTGGTAGTCAATGTAGCTAATTAGGAGAAAGTGGAGTCAAGGGGACTAGATAAACCCTTGCAATGGGATATGCAGGGCCATAAATTCCAGCATTCCTTCAATACCTTAAGATTGGGAGGCAGTGACATGATCCTGGGGATGGACTGGCCAGCCAAACATAGCCCTATAGAATTCAATTTCCAGAAACACAGCATGAAAATCTGTAAGGGGAAGCAGGAAGTGGTGTTGCTTGGGAAAGATAACAGCACTGGACTGAGAATGCTTAAAGGGAGTAGGATGGAGAAGTGGTTGAAGAAACAAACATATGGAGTGATAGCACAATTGGTGGCAGTAGAAGAAGAGGGAGGTTCAGAGCTGATGCCTGCTAAGATCAGTCAGGTGGTGGAGCAGTACAGAGATGTTTTCGAAGAGCCTAAGGGGATGCCCCCAACCAGGAGCCATGATCACCAAATTGTGCTAAAAGAAGGAGCCAGGCCTTTCCAGGTAAGGCCATACAGATGTCCATACGTACAGAAGACAGAGATTGAGAGATTGGTAAAAGAAATGCTGGAAATAGGAATCATACAACCCAGTAGCAGTCCATTTGCCTCCCCAGTACTGCTAGTCAAGAAGAAGGATGGGACATGGAGATTCTGTGTAGATTACAGACAGCTAAATGAGTTGACAGTAAAGAACAAATTCCCTATGCCCCTGATTGAACAACTGATAGATGAACTACATGGAGCCAAGTACTACACCAAAATCGACCTGAGAGCAGGATACTTCCAAATCAGAGTCAAGGTGGAAGACATCCCAAAAATAGCTTTCAAAACTCACCAAGGACTCCATGAGTTCAAGGTCATGCCTTTTGGTTTGACCAATGCTCCTACCACCTTCCAAAACCTAATGAACCAGATCTTTCAGGAGCAGATGAGAAAGCATATCCTGGTATTCTTTGATGACATCCTGGTTTACAGCCCAACCCTGGAGTTGCATGTCAAGCATGTAATTGAAGTATTGAATATCCTAAGGCAGCACCAGCTATATGCTAAGATGAGCAAGTGTTCATTTGCTCAGCTGCAAGCTGCAAGTGGAGTATTTGGGGCATATCATATCAGCAGAAAGAGTGCAAGCTGACCTTAAGAAGGTAGAGTGCATGGAGAGGTGGCCCAAACCCAAGAATGTCAAATAGCTGAGGGGGTTCTTGGGGTTGACAGGCTATTACAGAAGGCTTGTCAAAAGGTATGGGGCCATAGCTAAACCTCTAACTAACCTGCTGAAGAAGGACAGTTTTCACTGGGGAGAGGGCTCAGAAACAGCTTTCCAGGAGTTGAAGAAGGCCATGATCAGCACTCCTGTATTAGAAGTGCCTGACTTCACCCAACCATTCATCATTGAGACAGATGCATGTTATGATGGCATGGGAGCTGTACTAATGCAAAACAAGAGGCCTATTTCCTATCTCAGTCAGGCATTGGAACAGAAGAACATGGGGTTATCTATATATGAGAAGGAGCTCCTAGCATTAGTGACTGTTGTAACCAAGTGGAGACACTACCTGGAAGGACATCATTTCATCATACACACTGATCATTACAGTTTAAAATACCTACTGGAGCAAAGGATCACCACCTCCCTCTAATAGAAATGGCTCACCAAACTCTTGGGACTGAGCTACGAAATCCTTTACAAGAAAGGGAAAGACAACATTGCTACTGATGCTCTATCTAGATAGGGCAGGGAAGAGTCAGGAGAATGCACAGCTATCTCTTGTGCACTACCCACATGGATCAAGGAAGTGGTGAAGAGCTATAAGGAGGATGTGTGGGCTTAAGAGACCATCTCCCAAGTACTACTGGCCCCAACTCAAGTACCAGATTACTCCTATCAGGATGGTGTGCTCAGATACAGGAAGAGGCTGATGGTGGGAGGACAGGGTGACATAAGAAGGAAACTTATCACTACTCTACATAACTCCCAAAGGAGAGGACATTCAGGTATTCAGGCCAGCTACATGAGAGCCAAGCAGCTGTTTTACTGGTCAGGGATGTACAAGGAGATCAAGCAGTTTGTTCTGGAATGTGACACCTGTAGGAAGTGCAAAGATGAGCATGTAGCTTACCCAGGGCTGCTGCAGCCCCTTCCTATCCCTCAGCATTCCTGGAACCATGTAACCATGGACTTCATTAAAGGATTACCAAAATCAGAAGGGAAGGATACCATAATGGTAATTGTGGACAGATTCACCAAATATGCTATTTCATCAGTATTGCATACCCTTTTGATGCACCAAAGGTAGCCAAGCTCTTCATTGATCATGTCAGTAAGCTACATGGAATTCCCCAGAGCATGTTGTCAGATAGGGACAGGATATTTGTCAATAACTTTTGTGGAGAACTTTTTTTCCATGTTGGGAGCTAGACTGGACTACAGCACAGCATATCACCCATAGACTGAAGGACAGACTGAGAGGGTGAATCAGATGCTAGAGATGTACCTCAGGTGTCTCACTCATCTAGAGCCTAGGAGATGGAACCAGTGGCTATCCTTGGTAGAGTGGTGGTACAATACCACCCACCACACAGCCATACAGATTACTCCATTCGAGGCATTGTATGGTATTCCCCTTCCCCAGCTAGCTGTGGGACCCTACCTGCAAACCAGGATAGCTGCAGTTGGAGACTATGTCAGGGAAAGGCAGCAAATAGATAGCATGCTGAAGCAGAACTTGAAGACGGGTCAAGAAATGATGAAAAAGTATGCTGATGAAAGTAGAAGCGAGAGGTAGTTTAGTGAGGGCGATTGGGTGTATCTAAGGTTACAACCATATAGGCAAAGCTCATTGGCTCTCAGAGGGAACACCAAGCTCACAGCTAAGTACTTTGGCCCCTACAAAGTAGAAGAGAAAATTAGGAACGTAGCTCACAGACTGCAGTTGCCTACCACCACAAAGGTTCATCCTGTTTTTCATGTATCACTACTCAAAAGGAAAATAGGAGGCAAGGTCACCCCTACACTCCAGCTGACTAAAATTGATGAGAAGAGACGCTGGAAGGTTGAGCCAGTAGCTGTGCTTGACAGAAGAATAGTGAAAAGAGGAAATGCTGCTGCAGTACAATGGTTGATCCATTAGTGGGGTACAGATCCTGTAGAAGTTACATGGGAGAATGCTGAGGCGATTGAAGGACAGTTCCCCAGATTCCAATCTTGTGGTCAAGATTGTTCTCCAGGGGAAGGTATTGTCATGAAGTCAGAAGTAAGAAGGAAAAAAACGTGGAGGGCAAAGAAGGGAAGGCGTGAGTTATTGTCATGAAGTTAGAAGGAAGAAGAAAGAAGGCGTGGAGGGCAAAGAAGGGAAGGCGTGAGTCTGGAAGGAAGTCAACCGGAAAAAGGCACAAGGAGGGTGAAAGCACGAAGAATGTGTGAAGAAAATGTGATAAGGGCAGCTTTAGCAGAGGAAGGCGCGGTTATGAAACCACGCCTTTTCTGGGTTCATGCGTTTCTACTAAAGCTGGGAACTAGGGCAACTGAAAAGATTCTCTCGGACACGTGTCACTCACCCATTAGCTATTGAATTAGTTAGTTAGATTGATAGCTCTATAGAAGAATTAGATCATGTAATATTTATTCAACCTTTTAGCTGAAATCTTGCTGCTGTAATCAAAGAGAATATCCTCTTTGTACTTTTTCTTCCCCTTCAAGTTTCCTGCATTCTGTTTCCTCTTTCTATATCTTTCCCACCAATTCTATTTCTGTGTTTTTGAATTAAGAAGTTGATTAATGCAAAAAAGGTGTTTGCTTGCAATTCCTTGATTTTGCAAATTTCACTGAATTCATTCCCAAAGCTCAATTATTCCATTTCCTGTAATAATTCCGGTTCTGTACCACAACACAGACCTCTTATGGAGATGATTAGGAATTTTTTAGTCATTGGGCCTTAAGGGCCATTGTTTAGTTGGTCTATTGGATATTCTTATGCGGCCATCTACGGAGGAAGATTATACAAAGTTATTCATGCGGCGCACTTGGTTGATTTAGTGTGTTCCGATGGTGATTTCGAAATAGGCTCTCAACTTTAAGATGCATCAGGAATCAACAATTGTTCCGATTTGGGTGTCCTTTCCAGCATTGCCGCTATCTTTGTTTAACAAGAAGTATATTAGTAAATTGGGCATCGTTGTTGGGAAGATCATTGAGGGTGGACTCTACAACTCTGAAGCTTAAAAGGCCATCTGTAGCTCAAGTTATGATTAAGATGGACATTGCACATCAGCCTCCCAAGCGTATCTGGATTGGAGATGATTAGGAGGGTTTTTGATAGTCTATCGAATATGAGAAATGGCCTAAATTTTGTTCTTATTGCGAGCATATTGGTCCCTTGGACAATGAATGTTTTTGAAAAAATCTAGAATTGAAATCAGTGAATGGTGGCACTCTATCAAGCAAGAAGCAAAAGAAGACAAAGCAGATTTTTTTACCTAAGAGCCATGACAAAAGGAATGACGTTCAGCTTGGGTTCAGTGTACAGGCTAATGAAGCTGTTGCAATCAAATTGTTTATCACCAGGTAACCAATGGTGCCTTGGTGTCTGGTGAGATTGCATTGAATGGTTTAGTAGCAGGTACTACAAGTAGGAGTGAGGATCAAGCTTAGTCATTGTCTAAGTCAGTGGCGCGGGATATGATCACAGTTGCTGGTGGGAAGGCATAAAGTAATCAGAATTCAAAATTTAAAGGAACATGGGATGGTGTGGAGATGTTGGACGTAGTTGCGATTGAAAGTGGTTCCAATGGTAAAAACCAAAAGCTGGTTCGCAGTAGTTCGACCATTGTGATGAGCGAGGAGGTCGTGCGCACTGGTGAAGAGACAATTGTAGATTTTGAAGTAGGCATTGACGATCCTGATGCTGCAACAAACTCGTTTGTAGCTTTGGGGAGTATAGCAGACATGGAGATGCATGAGCTTGGAGTGATTCGGATAAGGGCTACTGCTCTTGGGTCTCCCCTTTCTTCACCACGAGCAACAAAGAAATAGCCTGGACGACGGTGTTCTATTGGGAACTCGACTGAGATTTTGGTGTCGATTGAGTAGTTAAAGGAGTTTGAACAAATGATTCACCAAAGAATGCAAAGATGCAAGTTGCGAGATGTTAAGGCTCATTGATCTATTGTTGCTGGTGACATTCACTTGGAGCACAACTTAGATGAACCCCAAGTTTAGTCAGTTCTTAAAAAGAAGGTTGGACGTCCAACTAAGCAATCACAAAAACAGGTTCCTGCCCATTCTCAAACTCAATATTCTTTGAGGTATTATGATAAATCCCATTAACACAATTGTTTGGAACATTAGAGGTGCGTCTCGTAGATGTTCACTTCGGTATTTAAATAAATTGTGTATGGTAAATTCTGTTCGGCTCTTAGTTTTACTTGAGCCAATGTCGGAAGTGGCTGAATTAGAAGTGGTTCGATGATTGTTAAGGTTTGATAAGGCGTTGGTATTTTTGGATGGAAAAATATGGGTGTTTTGGTACAATGACCTAACCATAAATTTTTGGGAAATGGCTGAGCAGCTACTTCACATGAAAATATTTTTTCGACCAGGCTTTGCAATCAATTTTTAGCAATTTATGCAAGATGTACTGGGGTAGGTGGACTGGAGCTGTGGTTCACAATGAAGGAATTTAATACGACAATATTCAACTGTGGCCTATCAGGCATTCCATTTGATGGATCATTGTTTACATGGACAAATGGAAGGGTTTGGCAATGGTTGGATAGAGTGTTGATGAATAATGCATGGACAGAGGCATATGAGTTTTCGCATGTTTCGCATTTGGTCAAAGGGCAGTCGGATCATGCATTGTTATTAATCAAGTGTCGAAATGGAGGATAGTGTAAATCATCTTTTAAGTTTTTGAATGTTTGGTGAAAACATCCTAGATTTTTGGATGTGGTTCAAGAGGATTGGGTGGTGCAGGTGATAGGCAAGGGTATGGTTAAATTTTACAATAAATTGAAGGAGGTTAATGAGTGTTTACAATGATGGAATGTTCAGGTGTTTGGTAATATCTTTTCAAAGGTGAAAAAGGCTGAGGAACTAATGAAGCAAAAAGAGGAACAATATGACACTGCACGTGATGTCTCATCTAGAAGTGCTTAAGAAGAGGCGAAGGCTGTGTATGCGAAGAACCTGACGGATGAGTGCGAGTATTAGAGACAAAAAGCGGGAATTAAATGGTTGCAAGTCAGGGATGCAAACACGGCTTATTTCCATTCATGGTGTCAGCAGCGGAGAAATTTTAATTATGTAGCTAGAATTAAATATGCTATGGGTAATTGGTTAGAGGCCATTGACGATATTAAGAGGCCGACTGTTGAATTTTTCATCTCTTTTTTTATCTGAATGGGACGGGAGACAATTGCCAACTTTATCATTTCCTTTGGCCGCGACTATCTGAGGCAGATAATATGGCTTTATCAGCTCTGCTTGACACGAAGGAACTTAAAATAGTGGTGTTTTCGTTGAGTGCTGATAGTGCGGCCATGCCTAATGGTTTTGGTGCTAGTTTTTACCAGTCATGTTGGGACATCATTAAGAGTGATTTGTTAGAGGCAATGCATGCTTTTTTCCAAGGGATGCAACTACCGAGGAGCTATACAAGCACTTCCATTATGTTGTTGCCTAAGATTGATGGGGCTACTTAGTGGAAGGATTTTAGACCAATAAGATTGTGCAATGTTAATTCTAAAATTGGTTCTTAAATTTTATCTAATCAGTTGGGAAGACTATTGCCTCATTTGATCTCGTCTTGGCAAGCAGGATTCATCCTGGGGAAAGCTATTACAGAGAATACCTTGATTGCTCAGGAAATGGTTCAGGATTTGGATAAGTGATTATGATCAGGTAGAGTGGTCGTTCATTTTATTTATGCTTTGTAACTTTGGTTTTCATAAGCAAGTGGTTGATCTTTTTGTTCGAATTGTGTCAAGTAATTGGTTTTCGGTCTTGTTAAATGGGGGCCTGTTAGGTTTCTTCAAATCATCTCAGGGAATGAGACAGAGGGATCCGTTGTCACCAGCTTTGTTCGTACTTGTTGCAGAATATCTTGGTCATGGTATACAGCATACTCTTGCACTCAAGGCAAACTGATTTTTTGTAATTGCATGCATTAAAGTACCATAGCTTTTGTGACGGTCCTACCTCCCCCTAGGGTGAACTCAAGCGTTTGGCGGATTGCCTGCCTAGCTCTTGCTAGGACTTACTACATTCACTCAATCAATTTTCAAAATCACTATTCAAACCTTCATATTAACACTAGAGTTCTACAATGCAACTAATAATTCAAGCTTAATTACAAACTAAAAGTAAAATATAAGATGCAATATCAAATATCCAAAGTACATTCTATCTACCAAAGGTACAAGTATGAGAGGGTTATACACATTAGTTCATGCTTAGTTGCTCAGGATCACCACTCCTATAAGGAAAACAAACTAAAAGAATGAGCTAAAAGCCCAGTGAGGTTCCCAAACAAGCATTCAAGCAATAAATCATTGATATATTATATTTAACACTTCACACACTTTGTACAGTAATAAGCAGTCATTCAAGAAGCAAATATTCAATCATTGAAAAGATACATGCTCATTAGGAGCCATTCATTCAGTCATTCAATCATTCAGTTGCTGTCCATTTCTCCTTATACCTCCAACATTTGAAAATATTTGAAAGTGAAAACTCCTTCAGTGATTATTTCATTTAGTTAATCGTTCAGTCATTCATTTCAATCATTGCATTTCATTCACTGGCCAGTACTCCACCCAACTTCATGGTCATACTCGAGTATACCAACACTGTCCCAGGGTCACCAGCCTGTCGACAGAGTCTGCTTCTGGCTCGAGTCAACTGGCAACGAAGGGCAAATGCCCAATTCAACCAATGCGGTATAGTATAGTACCGCATGACTTATATTCATACACAAGTAATGTTCAATCATTTGATCATTGAAAATCCACTTTCACTTAGGTCACGTGCGATAGAATACACACTCATCAATTGAAAATTCATTTAGTAATCATTGGAAAGCATTTAATACTCAAACAAACATACACAACATTCCACATAGTCATTTAA